TTGAGTCCCGGGTCAGACAGGTTTTGGGAAAAGAATGAGTGGTTAGAGGGAGGAGGGGCTTGGAGGGAGGAGGCAGGATTTGGGGCAGAGCTGAGTACGGTGGGGACGAAGGGAGTCTGAGCCAGCCTTCTCTGCTTCTTGTAGAAGTTTATCCACAGCAGGACAGGGGAGATTGCAGAGAGCTGAAGCCTTAAGGCTGGCGCACGCACGTTTAAAGAATGAAAATGGATGTTTATTGACCCCCCCACCCGCCCCCCGGCAGCACTGCATGTTCCTTGGAGAGGAAGTAGATAAGTACCTGTGACTAAGAGAGCAATAGAGATTGCCTGTTATCCCTGTCATGGTGCCCGGCTTCTTTCATATCCTGGGGCGCATGTGGCCCTTGGGTAGCGCATTGGACACACCTGATACTGCTAAGCCTTGGTTAATTTCTTCCCCTTTCCTTAGATTTTTGTGGGTAGGAACGTGGTCACTTATTTCACAACGTTATGTTTCTCACTTGATATAGTTTCTTGAGAACATTTCTAGATTCTCTTAAGTTTTACCCATCTCCTTCGTACCTGAGCCAGGTGGTTCAAAAAATGCAGTGTCTTCCAGAGAGTTCTGGGAAAGGCTCCTCTACAGCTCCTGCTTCAGGGCCGCCAGACTTCCTTTCCGGGACTTTAAAAGAGGAAGTCCTGGTACAGAAATAATGCAGAAATGACTAAAAAAATGACCGGCCACGTTGTATATTTAGATGCGAGGCCTAATTTTATTGTTGTGTATGAGACTACTGCAACTATCCTTGTAGTCAAATCTTGGTGCACACACCAGATTTTCTCAAAAGACATTTCTAGAAGCAGCCGTTTCTGGGAAAGAAAACTCCCAAGGTCATATTTTCCTTCTGAGGAAGTTTATCAAATGGCACACTCAAGGCTGCTCATGCCCCAATCCTGCCCTCCATCCGTCATCAAAAGCCTCCAATGGTGCCCAACTCAGTGGGGGGGGGGTCCACCTCCAATCATTACCCATGAGTTGTCTTTAGGTGATATAAGTGCCACCTTTGGGGGTGGTGGAGGTGGTATTGGGGGGTAGGAGATGGAAAGTGCTGACTCAAGGGAGCACCACTTCCTGGGGGAGCATAGATAAGGTGACAGCTCTGTGGTTAGAGGTGGGGGCACCACCAGGAAACGCAGAACTAGGGGACAAGGCTTTCTAAAAAAATTTTCAGATGCCCCTGCCTGTGGTCCTGGAGGAGGGAGGGTGGGAGTGGGGGGGGTGGCGACCACAGACCGGATTATTGTTTGTTGGCTTTTTCCTCTTGAAGAGGGTTCCTTTTCTGGCACTATGCAGCGATCGTGGGATTGATCTAGGTAGGTAACTCCAACTGTTATAGACTTTGTGCCTTGCTCAGTGTCTGGGGAAGGGAGCTTGCACCCTGGCGCCCTCTGAAGTAGGACTGCTTGAGTCCTGATGGCAAAGAGAAGCCAAGAGTTGCTTCCTCACGTCCCTGTGAGAGGGAAGGAGTGGGAGCCACAGGAAGATGCCACTGTCTTATTTCCAGGTAGGCTTTAGCGCTGGCAGGGGTAGATTCTTTCCCCTTTGCATTCACCTTAAAAATTCCTGCTGCCGGCTGACTGATTGGTGGGGAGCTTCCTTTTTCATGCTATGGTGGAGTCAGGGCTAGTCTGTGAGGGAGAGTCTCTTCCCTAAAGAACATGGGACAGTGAAAGACAGTCAAGAGGTTTTGGCTTGTTGCATGACATTTCTTGTTTGGGTTAACATTGCCAGGGGGCTCTGTGATGCTTGCCAACCTAAGTCTGGGAGGTCAAGCTCCTTGTCCACGAGCACCCCCAAGGACCATCTTGTCCCTGAAGCTTACAGCTTAGCTGGTTTCAGAGTGAGACGGGAATTGAATTTGTAAGTTGTAGTTGAATTTGTGAGTTGTAGCTTGTTGCTACAGCTGGCTCGATCTCCAGTTATTTCCAATTTTCAAATATTGTTCTTTTTGGGACTTAAAACACAGATTTGCCTCAGGTGTCATTTCCAGGCCCCAGCTCCAGCTTGGTTCTTCATTTGTTTCTGTATTAGTATCCTAAGCTTGCTGCCAGCATGTCTCTACAAACTGGACAGCTCTACACAGCATAATTCTTCTCTCCTGGTTCTGGAGACCAGAAGTCCAAAATCAAGGTACTGGCCAGGCTAGTGCCTTCTAGGATCTTTGAAAGGAGGGTCCATGCCAGGTCTCCTTTCCAGCTTTCGGGAGCTGCCAGCAATAGCAGTCCCTTCTTCTGCACACAAATTGCTTCAATCTGCCCCCACCGCACACAGTGCTCGCCTCTCTCTGTATTTGTCTTTGTGTGCCTCTGTTATGGACACCAACAAGTAGGTTTTGCATCCAACCCGATCCAGATGTCTTCTCCATCTAGCTTAATTATAACTGTAATGACCCACTTTCCAAACAAAACCCTGGGGAACACGACTCTTTCGAGGGGTTGCTCTTGAGACCTTTGTAGCCTTTTCTGCCTTCAGATTTCTCCCATCTAGCCACTTCACCCACAGAGTCAGCTGTTGTATTCCTCAGACCTCACTTAGCAAGCACTTGTCACCCTTGCTCCCAAAGCCTTCAAAGGCTCCCAGTGCTGACAGAATAGAGTTCTACCGCTCTAGCTCAGTTTTAGGAGACTCACCATAGTCTGGTCCCAATGATGTCTTTGACCATGTGTCTTTATGCTTGTATACATACCCTCCGGGTTCATGGGAAAGGCCTCCCGTATCATGGAATTTGGTGTTTGGATCATGGACTCCCACCCCACATTCTGCTGCTTAGATGCTTTCCTTGAATACTAAGTCATATCTTTCTCAGGAGAACATTTGCATGCTGCTCTGACTGTTGACATACTCTGTCCCATTCCTCCTTTGGGGCGATGTTCCAAATAGGGTCTACATTTTGCCCGAAGCCTATTTGTTATACTTTCTTAGGTCCCTGGATTTGGCCACAGCATTTGAATCATAAGAGATTGGAAGCCAAGAGTCACTGGGTGTAGTAGGGAAAGCGTCTCTGTGGGGAAACCACTGCCCATCCCCCCATGTGATCCTTAGCAACAATGGCAGCTAGAGTTAGGACCAAGGCAGTGAAAGAGGAGGAGTCATAACCTGAAGGACATCAACGCCTGTCAATATCAGCTCAGATACATGCTCTGAAAACTTGCAAGTAACAGAGGGTTTTCTGTGCAGTGTTGGGATCCAGCCCAGCGCCCTGTCCTGGAACATGCTGAGAAAGTGCGGCACCCCCAGCTACAAACCCTGTCCAACAACATTTTTTTCCTTTCAGGATTGCTCTTAGTGCCTTTTTGCTAGCTCTCAGTATGTGTGAGGATCTTGAAACCTTTGGCGCTATTGGAGCCGTCCTTGCCAGGTCTTAGGAATGGTTTTATGAACTGGATGTAGAAACCCAGGCTAAGGCAAACACCCAGGTAAAACTGCTTACCTCCCCAGATAGTGTATGGGCAGCTTATATGATGCTTTTGATTTCATCAACTTGAAAGAACTTTGCATGCCTGCTTTCAACTTCTTGGATTATGGTACGGACAGGTGACCCTGGACACCAATTAAAAATCATATTTTCATCTAAAACCCACAGCAGTTGCCTGCTGATCTTACATACAGTCAGTGCTGTATGTAAGAAGTCTACTAGGTGAGGTTTCCTGTCCATAGGCCAGTCTTGCTATGTATTTGTCTCCGGGTCCTAGTGGCTGCCATGTTCAGGTTAAACGATGAAAACAAAGGGATCGGCTTGAGTTTGAGCTTGTCCCAGCCGTATTCCCCATAAAGAACACACAAGACTGTGAAATGCCTTGAGACTCAGGAGGCACAGGAAACTGGAGAAGGGCCCCCTGCTGGTGGTTCTGCCCTTGAGCAGCAACCCCCCCCCCCCCCCCCCCGTTCCTATCACCGGAACCTTCCCTCTTTAACAAAAGTACAAAGAACATGCAACACAAGTAGAAGACAAAGGTCTTTCAAAGACTCCATGTTCTTGGTGTGACTCAGAATGAGGGCCAAAAAACCCTCACACTGCATGAGTTAACAGATGGCCTGCTGTCATTGCTCCAAAGGTCCAAGGCTTGAAGTGGCTGTCACTGAAGTAGTCCGGCTGGGTCTCCCCAGCTCTTAGCCTCACTTCTGAAACAAGGATTCTGGTGTCTCTGTTTCCTTTTCCGATTAGATAGTGCATCCCTGGATGGAAAAGATGAAGCATCCTATCTCTGGGTAGCTGCTCAGTGGCTGGGGTGTAAGAACACTGGAAAAATAGTTTTGTTTGGAATGGCAGGCAAATAGCCAGCTCCCTCTAAACAGGACACCAGGCAACCATTTTTTCTTGAGTGCATACTAGTATTTGATATGAGGATTCTGACTCCACAGTGGGGTTAGTAGCAAGGGCTCCCCATGTCTCAAAGTCAGAGGAGACGGAGTGATGGGTGAGAAGCACTAATGCTGATCGGAGGTGTAGAATGGATGGAAGGATGCTGGGTGGGGAGATGGGAGCACACATCTCTTCGCCACTGATAAAGCATCAAAACTAAAACGATCCTACCCAAGTCTATATTATTATATTTAATGAGGTTATGGAGAGAAGTTACTCAAAGGCAGCTGCCTCACCAGAAAGCCCATCCCAGCTTGGGTACCGAGCTATGAAAGCCATCTGCCTGACTTGTGTGTACCGCTGATGGAGGATGTCTTCACTCTGCAGCACCCATACTGCACTATTGCCTTGGGGAGGGCCCTGTGGATTTTATAATGTATGACTTCCCTAAGCCTTATAAATTTTATGAACTTGCTGAACCTTGTGAGTTTCTCTACCTTCCTGGTCTCGTGAGCCTCTCTCCTGCTTCCAGGAGGGAAATCTTAGAAGGAAGTGAAACAGTTTCTCAAGGAAGATGGCAAACTTGTTTCTCATGTCAGCCAGAACAAGTGGCCATAAAGTAAATGAATGGAAACAGTAGCAATTTACTATCTTCCAGTTCCGGAGGCCAGAGGCATGAGATGATCTTCTCGGGACAATATCCAAATGTGAGCCACGCTGTATCCCTTCAAGAGACACATTTTTAGAGGCTACCTGCATCTTTGGTTCCTGGCCCTTTCATTCCTCTTCAGAGCCAGTACTTCAGATTTGTCTTTGATTTCTGACTAGCCCTGTTTAGCCTTCCCTGCCTTCAGAGACTCTCATAATGAATGACAACGTGCTTAACCCGGTCCATCCAGATAACCGCCTGTTCTCAAGGCTAACAGACAGGCAACTGAAATTCTACCAACAACTTCAGTTCTCCCTTGATGATAACATAATCACAGGATCTGAGGGGAGAGACATGGAAGCATTCTTTGACCACGAGTGAGGCTCCCAATAGTCATTGTAGTGTCAGCATCCTTGTTCAATACCTATACTTGAGGAAACTTGATCTCAGACAGTTTATGTGAATTCCAACTGTTGGCTCCACAGGAGAGGAAAATTCCCCTGAGCCCTAGGCCATTTGTCACTGGAACAAAAAATACAATTCTATTGCAGGCTTGAGGCCCCTTCCCTCCAGTTCACTTTGTTGCACCTGGGCCTCACATTTGTCCAGTATTAAGGGATGGTAACACTCACTCCATGGACTCAGAATGGACTTGACCCAGCCATAAGTATTTTATTGTTTGAACATGAACACAGACTTTTAGAACTGTAAATGCCCACTTGGGGACACTGAGCTTTAGTGACCAAGGTCTCCAGAAGTCAAAAATCCTGGAAGATCCTCCTAGGAACTCTACCAAGAGGGTCTGCCGAGGGAGCACCCACAGCCACCTTTTCTGCCTTAGTGGCTGCTGTAGACGTTACTGTGTGATCACCCTGTTGGATGAGGTTGGCACCTAGAATTAAAGGAAACTTTAGCCACTGGGCATTCAGAGTGATGGAGCTGGTGACTCTGGTATACAGTTCAGTAGTCAATACAAGAAGTCTTCAGTCACGGTCAGTGCCGGAAGGGAAGACACTGGAAGACTTACTGCATGATGTTTTCTCTTGGAAAGAGCGAACCATGACCTGGGAGAGCAATCTCCAGAGGTGGTGTCTGGATCGCATTTAGAAGGCTGCTAGCCTCCACGTCAGCTTCTCTGTCAGCTGCCCAGCAGCTCACCCACCCTCTGCACCTAAAGATGGAATCTGGCCAAGGATAGGCTCCAAGGCTGGCCTTTTTGCTAGGGAAGTACATTCTTCAGAACTCTGAGGTGAATCCAGTCTGTGAAGAAAGACGAGGCACCCAGGAGGGATGTCCGAGGCCACTGAGAAAGGCTCTTCCTGATTCCTGGAGGAGCATCATGAAGGGGCAACGCACATTGTGAAACTTTGGCATAGTACTACAGAGTTTCCTTTCATCCCTACAACCAATAGGTGAAAAGGGGAATCTAGGACCCCCCCCTCCAACCTGCTGCCCTGGAAGATGAAGCAAGGCACTGGTATCCAGGTGAGAACTAAGGTCCAGATGGCTGAGGTCTGGGGAAATTGGGGGTCACCAGGTCTGAGCTCTTTTTGTATTAAGCAGGGCAAGTTTTTCACGCAGTGTTTTCTGAAGTAGATGGAGCTTAAGATGGGAAGGGGCGGAAGGTGTGCATGGATAGACATTGGCAGAAGGTGCTAAAGAACTGGGAATGTACTGAGAGCACTAGACTCTTAATCTAGTGCAAGTAGGGGATGAGAGGAGAGTGGTGGGATGATGATGATGATGATGATGACGATGATGATGAAGAAGAAGGGTGAGCAGAGAGGTTTTATTAGAAAGAAACAGAAAGCTTGGCCACCAAGTTCCTGAGGAGACCCACTATTGATGAAGACTAAGATTTGGGTTATTCTTCCAATTGCTGGTTATCAGCCCGAGGGGCATTGTTTTTGGAAATGACTCCCTACCCCCAAAAGGGATGACAAACCCCTGCTAGGTAAGAGAGAGACCTTTTTTTTCTTTCTGAACCCACAGTTGCAGCTAGGACACAGCAGCTGTCCTGTGAGAAGGCGCCAATTTCAAAGCACAGCAGCGGCTTCCCTGAGGCTCCGCTCCCTGCTTCTCCACCCATATGTGTCTTCAAGGAGGCTTTGAAAGGTGAGATGGCTCATATATCCTGTGAGGTGAAGTCAGGAGGGGAGGGAAGGCTGCCAGCTGCCATGCGCGAGGACAGGAAGTGACCCTGCAAGCCCCCCGGGGTCCAGGGTGCTGCATTGTTCTCAGCTACTGGACAGCAGCTGTCAGATGCATTCCTGGCTGCTGGTTCCCCGGACAGGAGGTCCCAGGTGGAGAAGGATGAATGTGATTTTCTTTTAGGAACCTGATTAAGCTAGAAAGGGCAAAATGACCTATGATGGCTCTTTCTTCTTTCCTCATGACCTCAGGATATCTTCTAAGATGTATGGGATTGGATGATTGAGAAAACTTGGCAAAAATAGAGACAGAAGCAAGAGATAAGAGGTAAGATTTTGGGGGTTGGGGGCGGGCGGGAGTGTGTGTGTGAGCCCCTTGTCATAGTGGATGAGAATGGAAGTGTCCGGGAGAGCCCACCCAAGAGGTTACGATGTCAGAGGAACAGGATGGAGAGCCTTTCTCAGGCCTGAGATGCCCATCTCCACTGGACACAGACTTCCTGCCTCAGAGAGACCTTGGTGACCAATGGCTATGACTGCAGGAGGGTCTTTAAAGCTAATGTCATATGTCTTTCTCTGTTGGTGTCCACCTTATTTGAGACAGGGTCTCTCGCTGAACCTGGAGCTTACTGATTGGCCAGACTCCTGGCCAGCAAACCTCTGGAATCTTCCTCTTGCCACCACCCAGTGCTGGTATTACAGGCACATGATACCAATTCTGATTTTTTTTAAAATCTGGCTGCTGCACATCTGAACTCTTCTCAAGCTTGGAAGCAAGCACTTTACCTACTTAACAGTCTCCCTAGCCCAAAGACTTGAAAGAAGACTGCAGATTCTAGTAGGGAAAGTCCAGAAATTATGTGGTTAGAGCCAGGCGTTTCTGCAGGTGGGAGAGTCTTGGCCGAAAAACACCAGTGCTCAGCACTGCCCATTATCAAGTTACTGGAAATCAAGGACGTAGGAAAAATTGAATCCATCTGTCTTAGTCAGCTCAGATGCTGTTATGGATACTGTAGACCCAGCCACTTATAAATAATGAGACGTTTATCAAAGTTTTGGAGGGTGGAAGTCTGAGATCAGGTACCAGCATGATCTCTTATAGGGATGCCAATCCCATTCGCAAGGGCTTCATCCACATCACCTAATTACCTCTCAAAGGCTCCACCTCCAAAAGCCATTTCATTGGGGATAACGTTGCAACACATGGATTTTGGGGCAACACATTCAGTCCATATCATCATTTCTAGAATTTCTGTTTGGCACCACTAATTAGGCTTACATTTTTCAAGGTTTATTGTTTTTCTTTCATGAATGTGTGTATGTCTGCTGTCCTCAGAGCTCAGAAGAGAGAATTAGGTCCCCTGAAACTGGAGGTACAGATGGTTGCCACCATGTGGGCATTGGAAACTGAACCTGGGTTCTCTGCAAGAACAGCAAGTACTCTTAGCTGCTGAGCCATCTCTCTAGCCCGCACTTCCATCTTTTGTTTGTTTTGTTTTTAAAAATTTATTATTTATTATGTATAGAGTATTCTGTCTGCATGTACACCTCCAAGCCAGACTAGGGCCACAGATCTCATTATAGATGATTGTAAACTGCCATGTGGTTGCCAGGAATTGAACTCAGGTCCTCTGGAAAAGCAGCAGCCAGTGCTCTTAACTTCTGAGCCACCACTCCAGGCCCTTGTTTTTGTTTTTGTTTTTGTTTTTTTTTTAAGACGGGGTTTCTCTGTGTAGCCCTGGCTGTACTGGAACTAGCTCTTATAGACCAGGCTGGCTTCAAATTCACAGAGATCTGTGTGCCTCTGCCTCTCAACTGCTGGGATTAAAGGTGTGCACCACTACCACCCGGCTGTTGTTTTGGTCTTATGATTTATTTTTCATGCATATGAACACGATACCTATGGAGGCCAGAAGAGGGAGGTGGATTGATTCCTTGGAGCTGGTGTTACAGGGAGGGCTGGGAACTGAAGGGTCCTCTGGAAGCAGGAAGTCCTCTTAACTAACTGCTGAGTTGTCTCTGGAGCCCCATGTTTCTGTGGTTGTTTTGTTTGTTCATTTTTTTATATTAAAAAGGTTTAAGATTATAATTACATTTCTCCCTTCCCTTTCCTCCCTCTAACCCCCCAACTCTGCTTTCCCGGCTGCATTGCTGTTGCATGTGTATGTGTATATATTCCTAAATACAACCTGTGCAGTCCACAGAACATCACCGGCATGTGTGTTTTCAGTTATTTCTAAACAGTGTAGAAGTTTTATTTTAAAAAATTATTATGTGTATAGTGTTCTGCCTGCACGCCAGAAGAGGGCACCAGATCTCATTACAGATGGTTGTGAGCCACCATGTGGTTGCTGGGAATTGAACTCAGGACCTCTGGAAGAGTAGCCAGTGCTCTTAACCTCTGAGCCATCTCTCCAACCCCTCAATGCAGAAATTGATGGCAGTCAAGTGACTATTTGAAATGTGATATTACAAGATGATTTAAAAATGACCTAATGTGTTACTCGACTATTCACCTAGACTGTTACTTGACTATTCACCTAGATTTGGTTTTTCTCAATATGTGAGACACGATCCCTTTGGAGTAGAATGAGTAGGAGATCACCTGAGGCCATTAGAAAACATTTATTTCTGAGATATCTGTCCTCTCATCTCCAGATGGGTCCACCCACATGAAGACAGTCCATATACGAGTGCCCAGTGTGACTGCATACACCATTGTGCCAACCCCATCACGTGCACCCCGCACAAATACAGGTGTATGTGATAGGGTTGTCACCATGACATGCTTAGGCAGACTAGTCACGCATGTACAGAGGACAGCTACTGTGTTTCAAGCAGCCGTGAAGGAGGTAAAATGACAATGTATTATAAATGCTGGGTAAATGTAAGATGATATACTGTAAGATCATCAATGGCTGCAAAAAAATTATCTGCACCATGGGAACTTAATCTGGATGATTACTGGTCTTTTTGTAGTCAACTGTGTCAATGTGAATACTTGTGACGGTAACAAGTATGTAAAAACAAAAACAAACAAACAAACCAAAAAAACAAAAAACAGAATGGTAAATACAGGAAAGCTCAATGAACCAAGTTGACTGAACTATGAACATGTATATGAACACATGCACACACATATAAGCTATCATCTTATTAAAGCTACTGATATTAGGAAACCATCAATGGATGGTATAGAGAAGAATGTTAAGAAAAGAAAGCATAGATTTTTTAATGGTATCTTTTTATCTCAATAAGTACATCAAGGATTGAGAGACTGCACTGTGTTAATTATTGTGAAGCTCTATCAGCAGAATCTATGGAGTCAAGCAAACTAAAATTCCATTTAGATAACAAGCACCCCAGCTTGGATACCAGCTCTGTTAGAAGCAAGACTGGTGGACCTTAGAGCCAGACTTGACAATGGTGGCAAGTGTCACAAAGAAAACGTAGCAGCCACTGAAAGTTCATACTTGGTGGCACTCAGAATCGCTATGAAACCTCACAGCATTGCTGGGCATTTACTGTTGCCAGTGGCCAAAGACACCGAGTTATGATTAGAGACAAATCTGTAATGTGGTTGAGTGCACTTTCCTTATCTAATGGTGCTGTCTGCTGATACTGTCGATCAGGTAATCCAGGAAATTAAATCTGCTCTGCTTCCAATATTTAGTATTCAACTTGACGAGTCCTAGGACGCTGCAAACTGTTCAGTTACTGCTTTACGGGAGGTGCAATAGGGATGGGGACTTTAAAGATGAGTGTCTTTTTAGCAAACCTCTTGACACAACAATTGCTCCATTTGGTGCGCTTGACAGTTGGGTTTTTACTCTACACTGTCGCAAAATGTAGCAATGTAGTTTATAAGACTGCTAGCCAATGCTCTACCATGCTTCAAGATAAAATTTCATTTGTTTGTAATTAGAAATAAATATTTCACAATATATAATTACATATTGTTTTGTGATTAATCACTATGCTTTAGTTGTTTTCAATTTGTAACAATGAAAATATATCCTGCATATCAGCCATTTACATTATGATTCATAGCAGTAGCAAAATTAGGTATGAAGTGGCAGTGAAAATGATTTTATGGTGGGGGACCCACAGCATTAGGAACGGCAGTAAAGGGTCACAGCATAAGGAAGGTTGAGAACCACTGTCCTAGATGAGTTTCAACATGGCTTGTGGAGGTCAGTCGTATGATCATCAGTATTAACTAATACTGCATTAAACCTATGAATTTGCTTTAAGAGGTGGATTCGGAGCCGAATTTTTTTATTTATTTATTTTTGAGTGATATGTCAGAAGGTGGCACCCTACAACAGTGTGGAGGCTTCCTGCTGGGGTTAAGAATTTTATGTTTAAAGTGTGAACTTAGGTAGGTTCCTTGGCCTCGTTTGTAAACAACTTTTATCTGCAAACAAAGGCATTACAAACAGCATCTCACTGTGCTGTGGCCAAGGCTGAGTTAGTGGGGAACACATGTTGAACAGTACCTGAGTACTCATCCTCGGGCTGTGATTTTTGTCCTATTTCTGTTCTTCAAAGGGTGGCATCAGCAGCAGAGGGTCTTACCATCAGGTTCTGAGGGAGGGGGCCGGGTCACCAAGAGCAACGGAAGTAGTCGCTAATGTTTTTTAGAGGGGGATTCTATGGGATTCCACTGGCCAACACCTGGAAAAGAGGTGCCCCATGTCTGGTACTGGACTTTTTACTGGATAGCCTGTGGCATTTAGAAGAGGTACTGACACCCCCCCACCCCCACCATCCACTTACAGTGTAACTTCATTTCAAATGTACGTACATACGTGTGTGCGTGCGCGCACGCGCTATGGAAGCTTCTACAGTAGCGCATTTCCATGTGGCTTTTTCAAAGGTCTTTAGTGTTAATTACCCTTCCCCACGCTCCACCCTCCATTCTACCCCCCACCCTTCACCCTCAACTTAACCCCTTCCTGCTCCATTCCCCCTTGAAGCCACCTGCTTTTTGTCCCCTTCTCCCTGGAAGACCCCATGGCTCCCACTTCAAAGTGAAGTTTATCGAGGACAGACTTTAATTTGGCTTGTTTCTGTCCCTACAGCACCGCCTGGAGCAGGCTGGTCCGCACTGAGCATGGATGATTATGGGAAGATGTTAGAAGAACAAGGGAATGCACCTTCCAGGGTCGCTGACTTGTCCCTTGCATGGGTCCCTGGCCTCTCCCCTTCCCGGCGGGATGGGCTCAGCAAGTTATTTGTGGTTATTTCCATGACCAGAAACATGACGGGAAAGGAGCCACAGGAGAGAGAGTACACAGTGTCTTTCCCACTGTTACCCTGGTTTTCTCCGGAGCTGGGAAAGTGACATTGAAAGAATGTAAGAATGGAGGACAAAGGACAAACTGTACTGAAGCATATGTATGAAAACGTCACAATGAAACCCACTGCTGTGTGTTTTTACCCCAGATTAAGAGAAATGTAGTGATGAAGTAAATCAAGCTGAAATGAATTATTTTCTGCTTTCAAAGTCCTCTTTGCATCCCCTTCTCCATTCCTGTTCCAGGGAAGTAGTGAAGGCAAGCGTCCATCTCAGCCCTGCTTAGCCAGCCTGCCCTGGGGTTAGTTTCAGCCCAAACGTGCGCTAAAGTGGGACGAAAGAAGGTTGAAGCTGTCTCAGTAGTTATTTTCTCCAGTCAGGGAGATAACATGTGTAAAAATGTTTTGAAAGGGAAGTGTGAAAAGTGGCAATTGGCCTCCATGATTAATAGAACTATAAATGTCAGATTCTAAATCTCCACGAACAAGACAAAGCTTGGTTGCATTTACACATTTTACTGGACCCAAACTGACATTCTCCAGCGGTTGCTGTAACAAAAACCTTTAATTTGTTTAAAGAATTAATTTTTTTTTCTGAGACAAGGTCTTGCTATTTATCTCAGGCTGTCCTTGAGCCCACTGCACAGGCCAAGATGGTTTTAAACTTCCCAAGTGGTAGGATTACAGGGCTTCCCTGCCACTCCCAGCTAGTGCTTTCAATGTTGCTATAGGCTAACAATACACTCTATCTCATTCTGTGATAGAGACATATAGGGAAGTGAGTGATCCTCCAATCCCACCTCATTAACAGGTCTCTGCTCGCCCACAACAATTCTCCAATCTCACCTTCCAGGTCTCAGCCTGTTATGAACCCAATTATCTGCTCTCCGACAACTAAATCTAGGCTGATGCTTTGGGTACAAAGAAGGTTCAACTCTGGAGCCTTTGATGGCTAAAGGGCAGGATGTCCCTAGAGGCCTAGTCAGACCCTCTAAGAGTCCAGTCTATCACAGTCTCTTCCCCAAGGCCACAGCATTGTAAGAAGGCCTGGCAGTGTCCCAGATGGAGATGGGCTGACAACTGAGATGGCAGAGTGTTTCCAGACGCCACTGCTATGGACAGAGGCCAAAGGAAGGAGACAGAAGTGTACAGGGATTGTTTGTACACCTTGTCCTCCCTTGAGCAAGGAGCTGATTGTATGGAGGGTAGAGAGGATGCAGAAAAAGAAACCCTCTGCCCTGAGCAGAACCACCGGAGACCTGATGACTGCACACAGCTGATCCCAGCCTGACGGGATTCAGCCCGCTCAGAGACTGCCAGCATCCAAGTCCCATTCTCCACCGACAGTACAGGCGAGGGTCCAGCCTACCCAGAGATTGCTAAGGCCCTGATACTAGGACGGCCTCCATCCACACAAGAGGAAAAACACCAGGGTATTGGACCTGCTCACGCCCACTGGAAAGGAACCATGGTCACAAATCCACCAGGAGAGGAAGAGACTCCTGCACCCACAGAATGAAATGATGGGAAGAAAATATAAAAGCACACCCAGCAACAGAAAAGCCAATATGACACTTCCAGAGAATAAAGACTCTACACTGTCAAGACCTGAACAGTCCATTGCAGATGAAACATGAGAAAGACCTTAAAAACCACTTCATGAAAATGATAGAGAGCCCTCAAAGAGGATACAAGACAATCCCTTAAAGAAATAAAAGAAAAAACAAACTAAAAATGCAAAAAAATGGAAGAAAAAACAAACCAAAAAAATCCAACAGATGCAAGAAAGAGAGGAAAAGACAAAGCAAAAAATTGCAAGAAACAATTCAAATAGTGCAAGGGTTGAAAGCTGAAATAGAGACAATAAAAATAACCACAGTCTGAAGGAAGGCTGGAAACAGAAAAGCTGGGAAAATGGTCAGGTACTACAGATACAAGCATAACCAACAGAATACAAGAGATGGAAGAGAGAATTTCAGGTATTGAAGATACACTAGGGGAAATAGATTCATTAACCAAAGAAAATTTTAAGTCAAACAAATGCCTAACATAAAATATCTAAGAAATAAGGGACACCATGAAAAGACCAAACCTAAGAATAATAGGTATAGAAGAAGGTGAAGAAAACCACCTCAAAGGGGCAGAAAACATATTCAACAAAATCATAGAAGAAAACTTTCCCAACCTAAAGAAAGACATGTCAATGAAAGTACAAGAGGCCTACAGAACACCAAATAGAGTGGACCACAAAAGGAAGTCCCCTTTCCACATAATAGTTAAAAACACTGAAAATACAGAATAAACAAAGAATATTAAGGAAAAAAGCCAAGTAACATACAAAGGCAAACCTATCAGAATCACACCTGACTTCCGCATGGAAACTCTGAAAGCCAGAAGGTCCTGGATAGATATTCTACCAACACTAATACACCACGGATGCCATCCCAGACTCCTATACCCAGCAAAGCTTTCACTCACTATAGATAGAGAAAACAAGATATTCCATAACAAAACCAGATTTAAACAATACGTGTTCACTAATCCAGCCCTACAGAAAGTTTGGAAGAAAAACCCAAACCCAAGGATGTTAACTACAACCAGAAAAACATAGGAAGTAGATAATCCCAATTTACCAACAGCCAAAAGAAAAAAAGAGGTGGAAATCCACACATAATTCCACCACCATGAACCATTCCAAAACAAACAAGAATGAGCAATCAATGGTCATTAATATCCCTGAATATCAATGGTCTTAACTCACCCATAAAAAGACGCAGGCTAACAGAATGGACTCAAAGACAGAATCCATCCTTCTGCTGTATACAAGAAACACCCCTCAGCCTCAAAGACAGACATTACCTCAGAGTTAAGGGATGGGAAAAGATCTTCCAATCAAATGGATCCAAGAAACAAGCGGGGTAGCAATCCTAATAACTAACAAATTAGATTTTAAAATAAAATCAATCAAAAGAGATGAAGGAGGGCATTTCATACTCATCACAGGAGAAATCCACCGAGATGAAGTTTCAATTCTGAACATCTATGCCCCAAATACAAAGGCAGTCACGTTCATAAAAGAAACATTACTAAAATTCAAATCACATATAAAGCCCCACACACTTATAGTGGGAGACTTCAACACCCCACTTTCACCACTAGACAGGACTATCAGACAGAAACTTAACAAAGAAGCAAAGAAACTAATATAAGTTTTGACCCAATTGAGATTAACAGACATCTATAGAACATTCCATCCAAATAAAAAAAGAATACACCTTCTTCTCAGTGCCACATGGAACCTCAAAAATTGACCGCATACTTGGCAACATATCAAACCTCAACAGGTACAAAAAAGTTGGAATAACTCCATGCACCTTATCAGACCACCATGCATTAAAATTAGAATTCAACAACAACACAAATTGCAGAAGCCCTACATGCCACGCCTGCTGCGCAGCCTGTATCTGAGAATGTGGCGAGGATCCATGACACAGAGACCGGTCGGTTGCGTTAAGAAAACCTTATGCTCCCCAAATCGGCTTAGGAGAACTTCCCAAGAAAAAACGCTTCCCTTCAGAAAATACTTCTGCCATCCATACACACACAAATCTCCAACCGCCCTCTTACACACCTCTCACACAGACCACTCCTCCTTCCTGGCTGGTGGTTAAATCTCTGGCCCCAGAATCAGAAAACAGCAGGGAGTGGCTAGCCACCTGGAAGATCAAAGTCAGTGAGTGAGCCCTTATCAGGAGCTTATGGCACTGAATTGTTTTCAGTAAACATGTTTTCAGTAAACATTGTCTGGCAGCTGCCTGCTCCCAGGCTGATGGAGGGGTGGGTTTCTGGCTAGGGTCTGTGATCCCCACACCTACAAACTCATGGAAATTGAATAATGCACAATTGCACCATTCCTGGGTCAATGAAAAAATAAAAAACAAAATTAAAGACTTCCTAGAATTCAATGATAATGAAGACACAACATACCTAAAACTATGGGACACTTTGAAAGCAGTGCTATGAGGGAAGTTCATAGCACTAAGTGCCCAGATGAAGAAACTGGAGAATAGTCACACTTGAGAATTAATAGCACAACTGAAAGTTCTAGAACACAAAGAAGCAAACTCACCCAGGAGGAGTAGATGCTAGGAAATAATCAAATTGAGGGAAAACAATACAAAGAATCAGTGTAATGAAGAGTTGGTTCTTTGAGAAAATCAACAAAATAGACAAATCTTTATCTAAACTTAAGAAATAGCAGAGTGTGAACATGCAAATTAACAAAATCAGAAATGGAAAGGGGACAACAATGGACACTGAGGAAATCCAAAGAATCATCAGGTCATACTTTGAAAACCTGTACTCCACAAAATTTGAAAATGTAAAGGAAATGGACAATTTTCTGAATAGATATCACTTGCTAAAATTAAATCAAGAACAGACAAGCAATTTAAATAGACCTATAACACCTAAGGAAGTAGAAGTAGTCCCAACCAAAAAAAAGCCCAGGGCAAGATGGCCTCAGTAGAGAATTCTACCAGAAATTCAAAGAACAGGTTATACCAATTCTCCTCAAAGTATTCCATGCAATAGAAGCAGAAGGGTCTTTGTCAAACTCTATCTACAAGGCTTCAATAACCTTGATACCCAAGTCACACAAAGACACAACTAAGAAAGAGAACTTCAGACCAATATCCCACATGAACATTGACGCAAAAATACTCAATAAAATACGGGCAAATTGGTCCAAGAACGTATCAGAAAACTCATCCACCATGATCAAGTAGGCTTCATTCCAGGGATATACGGATGGTTAAACATATGAAAATCCATCAATGTAATCAACCACATAAACAAGATGAGAAAAAAATCACATGATTCTGAAAAGCCTTTGACAAAATCATGATAAAGGTCTTGGAGAGATCCGGGATAACAGGGACTTACCTTAACATAGTAAAAGCTATATACAGCAAACGAACAGCCAACATCAAACTAAATGGACAGAAACTCAATGCAATTCCGCTAAAATCAGGAACAAGACAAGGCTGTCCACTCTCTCTATATCTTTTCAATATTGTCCTTGAAGTTCTAGCTAGAGCAATAAGACAACAAAAGGAAATCAAGGGGATACAAATTTGAAAGGAAGAGGTCAAACTTTCACTATTTGCAGATGATATGATAGTTTACATAAGT